TAAAGGCAAAGACAAAGAAGTAATCCTGAAAAGAGGAAGAGGAAGACAAGTCATCAAATACAGGACAAAACTGTTAATGGCTGATTTCTCATTCAAAGGAGACCAGAGGCACTGGAATCCCAGCTTCAGAATGCTCCGCCTTCAAACAAGTGTCAATCAAGATCTCTATATCCAGCAAAACTATTAATGAAAACGAAGGTGAAATAAACATATCCCTGGATATTACCCAAAAACCCCGAGAGAATTTGTTGCTAGTGGATGTTCCCTATATAAATATGTAAAAGAAGTCCTTTAAGCTAGGATTAAATTACACCCGGTAGTAACTTGAATCCACAGGAAGAAACGAGGAGCTCCAGAAATTGTGTATGCAGATAAATATAAAGATTTCACGTCTTTCATTTCCTACTGTTTCTCCAGCACCTGGCACAGTGCCTGGAACATAGGAAGTGCTCAGTGCATATTAAATCAATGCATGTTATTTTGCCATATGCAATATATCCATCTAGGAGTTGCCTTAAATACTTTTCAGAACGAGACAAGGTATATGTAAATAAATTAATTAAAAACTATATTATTACTGAATAATATATGTTGGAGAGGGTTCAGGAGATAGGAGTTACTATGTACCTGACAACGCAGGTACACAGATGTATATCTAGTGAGAAGCCGTTGACATGTGATGGACAAAGCATTTAATCACCTGGAAAAGTTCTTTTCCTGACACCCTAAATACATGGGCCTGATTCTTGGTGCTTTTCTTGATGTAGGCTGGGTCCTCTGTGTTATAGAAATCTGCCTTGGGAGAAAAAAAAGGTTTGTGATGTGCCCTAACACAGTGCTGGCAATGAGAGAACTCAGTGGAAGTGGTATTAGGAATGGTATAATAAGGTCTTCTGGTTATCCCTACCTTGAGCCCTATTTCATGGTACCATATAATTCTTCCAGGAATTAGAAATACCCAGATGGTAACACACATCCTCCATCTCCAGCTCTTGGCCTGTAATTTCCTTAGGGAACACAAGTAAAGCCCATTAGGCCGGCAGTTTACTCAGACTTCGGGTGCTAATGGTGCTGATTCAGCCCAGACATTGGGTGGAAGACTGACTCCATGTGTGTTTTGCAGCTCAGGGCAAAGACGAAGAAAACAACTAAGAAAAGTCTTTTCTTGAGCTTAGAACACGCCCAGAAGTATGTGAACAGTTTGGTACACTGGGCTAGCATGAGTGACTGATGACACCCAAATAGACACCTTCTTCCCTTCCACAGAGTACAGTGGCTTCTGTCTACCAGGAGGCTGTGAATCCCCAGAAGAGACACCTGGCTGAATATCCGTGGGAGGCATTCAAGCACCAGATTCCTGATGAGTAGTGCTACCCTCTTTCAGGTATCTTCTTGCTCTGGGCAGACTAGGCTTGCCTCTGTGCAAGAACCACAGTTCTGATGATGTTAGCTATCTGATTCTGCTCGGGCTGCCATAACAAAGTACCTCATCCTGGGTGTCTTAAACAACAGAATTTTATTTCCCTGCAACTCTGAAAGCTGGAAGTCCAAGATCAAGGTGTTGACAGGTTTGGTTTCTTCTGAGGCCTTTTTTTCTCCTTGGCTTTAGACAGTTGTCTTCTCCCTGTGTCCTCACCTGGTCTTCCCTCTGTTCCTGTCTGTGTCCTCATCTCCTCTTCTTATAAGGACACCAGTCATGTTGGATGAGGACCTTATTTTAATTACCTCTTTAAAGGCCCTGTCTCCAAATACAGGCACATTCCTAGGTCCTGGGAGTTAGGACTCCAACATACGAATTTGGGATGTTGAGGTACACAGAAGGGCGGATGCCACTTAAGGTTGTGACTTACTTGGCAAGATTGGAAGAAGAGAAGAGTGTACAAAGAGGGTTTTTGAAGAGAAAAGGAGGATTACAGTTATTTAGTTAGCATCTATTATGTGCGGGCCATGTCCTAGATGCTCTCACTTAAACCTCCTTGAACCTCACTCAAATAGCCACCTTATAAGGAAAGTTCCGTTCACCTTTTTGTGTACTGTGGTCTCCCTTTCCTCGTCGTTTTTTTTTTAAGTATTTTATTTATTTATTTGACAGAGAGAGTGCACAAGTGGGGGCCACAGCTGAGGGAGTAGGAGAAGCAGCCCCCCGCCCCCCTGAGCAGGGAGCCCGATGTGGGGCTCGATTCTAGGACCTCGGGATCATGACCTGAGCTGAAGGCAGACACTTAACTGACTGAGCCCAGGCATCCCTCCTCTTTGATTTTTTTTTTTTTTTAAGATTTTATTTATTTGACAGCGAGAGAGGGAACACAAGCAGCGGGAGTGGGAGAGGGAGAAGCAGGCTTCCCGCAGAGCAGGGAGCCCGATGCGGGGCTCGATCCCAGGACCCCGGGATCATGACCCGAGCTGAAGGCAGATGCTTAACGACTGAGCCACCCAGGCGCCCCTCTCCTCTTTGATTTTTAAATCTTATTCTGGTGGTAATGGTTGAGTCTGTTAGAGAACTTAACTTCTAAATGTTCAAACTCATTTTGAAGTTTGGCTCTTCTCTTGAGTTGATTGAACCATGGTAAAAAAATGTATATAAGCTTGTCGGCTGAGTCCTAAATTATTTCCCTTCAATGCAGCAAAATACACTGCAGCGTCCCCAAATGATGGCCTGGTCCCGCCCGCACGTGATGGAACTACAGTTTGGCACAGTCCGTTGGGCCAGGGGAAGCCTGGGGCTATGTGTGTGCCAGTGTTGGGGGTGGAGGATAGGGGGAGGGCAGGAGAGACTTCTCTGCTGAGTTTTGTCTGATTTAATGAATAGATTAGGTATCTGCCTTATAAATTGAGACTCTGAGCATTTTGTTTTTGTCTTAACGCTTAGTCCTATGTAATCACAAGTACGATATACTTGTAGGACCTGCCACGTGATTTGCGGGGCCCAGTGCAAGATGGAAATGAGGGGCCGCTTGCTCAGAAATGATTAACAAGTGCAAGAGGGTGATGGCAGACGTTAAGCCAAATGTGAGGTCCTTCTGAACTCAGGGCCCTGAGGGACTGCCCTCCTCAGTCGCCCATGAAGCCGGCCCTTGGAATGAGGAGGACCTTTCAGTTGATTACCCCCCTCCTAGATTAGAAGATCACTTGTCTTCATTTGGAGAATCTGCATCATTCATTTCTAGTTATCATTAAACCTTTCTCAGCTGGGTTTCTCAGGAGACTTCACGCCGTCAGGATAATCTGGCCTTGGGCTCCACGGTTACTCCTGTTTGCTTGGCGCTGGGGAGGCAGGGGTGAGGTTTGGATTCCTGATCCCAGCTAATGCCTCTCTGTCTCCTGCTGCTGCCTGGCTCCTCCTCTCTGAGGCCCACAGCTCGTCTAGGAGCCAAAGTGTAACACCACTGGAATTCTCTCGTTCCTGCAGTGGGAAGGGGGAGGAGCCCCGGGCAAGACCCCTGAGGCTTGCAGGATGCCTGATGTGTGTTTTCTGGACAGAGGGCCCTTCTGTTTCTTCTCTAGCCAAGACACCTTGGCTAAGGGGTTCTGAGTGATAGGTCAAGGTGACTCAGCGGTCAGGCAGTGCCAGGTACCAGCCCTTCCCTGTCCCTGTATGCGCTGTCTCTCTTGTCCTGGCCTCACAAGGACCTTCCCAGGCTGTCAGCTCAGCTTGCATCTCCTTCCCTCCTCTTCTGATTCCCTTGTTTCTTGGTTTCTGATCAATGTGGGCAATGCACATTTGTACCAGCCCTTGGGTCACTCCCAGGGACTTGTCGATATTGGGGTGTTTCATTCCACCATACTCAGGCTCCTAAGAACTACACCAGAAGGCAGAACTATCTTCATTCCTAGATGAGGAGTCTACCCCCTAACCCTTTTCAGTGAACGACCAAGATACATCTTGATCCAAGGGGCAACCCCCCTTCCTTCTGAAGAGTTAGGTAATATGGGTGGTGGGTATGTACTAGCAGGGATATATGGGGTGTGCACAATGGTAAACCACCACTTCAAGAGAAAATCCTCTGCTCTGTGTAACCCAGCTGCTGTCTCTGAGTCTCGGAGATGACCTTGACTCTGAGGAGCCCAAGAGGATGGAGGGGGCAGTGAGGACCTGAGATCAGTAGGGATTCCTGGGCCGGAAGTCAACAGACCAGAGTTCTGGTCCCATGTGGTAGGCAGAATAGTGGTCCCCCAAAGATATCCAGTTCCCTAACCCTGTGAATGTTACCTTACATGGCAAAAGGGACTTTGCATATGTAGTAAAGGATTGTGAGATGGGAAAAGATGCCTGGATTATCCAGGTGGGCCCAGTATAATCACAAGTGTCTTTATAAGGGGGATGTAGGAGGGTCAGAGACAGAGGAGATAGGATGAAGGAAGCAGAGGTTGAAGGGTTGTGGTTGCTGGCTGGAGTCACAAGCCAAAAAAATGTAAGTGGCCTCTACAAGTTGGAAAAGGCAAGGAAATAGGTTCTCCCCTAGAACTTCTGGAAGGAATGCAGTCTTGCCAACACCTTGATTCTAGTCCAGTGGAACTCATTTTGGACTTCTGACCTCTAGAACTGTGAGGTAATACATTTGAGTTGTTTTAAGTCACTAAGGATGTCGTAACTTGTCACAGCAGAACAGGAAATGGATCTTTCTTACATCTGCCATTAATGAGCTACTTCATTCTTGGGAAGGTCATTCCTTGGTCTCAGATACTGTACCTTAGGGACAATGGTTTTCAAACATGTAATAGAAAATTTAAAGGAGCGGGATACTTTTAGCGATTGAAATCCTATGTGGAAGGCCAATGTAAATTAGATGTGGGTGGAGCTTCTTGGTGAAGCTGGGGACCCACTGGGTAGTGCAGGTTGGAGTGGCGCTGGGTTTGGGTGTCAGCTGTCTAGTGCTATCAACTTTTTGTTGTGGGGAGTGCGGGCATTCTGTATACGGGACTGGTTGCCAACTTCTGACACATGCACACCAAAAAAACTCAATGGAATTGAGTAGAATTTAAACTTACTGTTGATATTAGTGAGGCTTTACACATATATTTTATTTTGGGTGTTGTACACAACTCTGAGGAATAGAGTTCATCTTCATGGCATTTTCAATTCTTCCAAGGACCTCATTTTAAATCCCTGCCCCTCCGGGAACTTAAGCAGGGAGATGGTGGCCATCCCTCTTGTATACATAGCCATTAATGCAACAAATCTAGAAAGAAGCACACTAGTATTTCATTGTTACTGAAATGAACTTCTGCAGGAAGTGTCCTTGGGGAAGGTCCTCTTTCCCTGGCATTTCCTTTTGACTTGCTTCTGTTGCTCTTGAAGGCTAGCCAGGGTCTCGTGCACCTCTCTGTGGCTCTTAGTCTCAGATGCCTCACGTTGGGGACATCTAGGACATCGTGCTCAAGCAGTGGAAGAGATAAGCAAGGAGAAAAGCAAAGACGTTTTCTTATCGTTACTAAAATTCTCTGGGAGGACACCAAGGGCCATATAAACACAGCCTGACTGTGAAATCAAAGCATCATTTAAACAACAAACAAATGCGAGCTCGATGGGCTAGGATTACTACTCCCTTATTAAAAAGCAACTTTAGGACTTGAGAAAACAAACACAAAACTGGAGGAGGGTAATTGAATGTGAGAACTTGATTGTGCTCTACAGGAAAATTTTCTACTTGGTCACTTTTGAAGAAATACATAGAGCAAGATGAAAGGGGATATATATATATATTATATATATATATATATTTTCTTAGTGTTGATATAATGCCTATTAATCAGCAGAAGAACTTGTTAAAATTGGAAATGCCTGCTCTCCTCCAAACACAGAGATTCTGCATCAGTAGGGTCTGGTGTGACACATTCCTGCTGAATCTAAATGGATGATCCAGGAGGAGATTTTGACAATCACCAACGACTGTAGCTGAGCTACCAATGTACAGACAGGAGGTGGTCCAGGGATTTAAGTCCACTCTTGCAAACTCATTAACAAGGACCCCCACGCATACTTCTTATTTCCCTGCACTGCTTTTCCTCTAAAATATTTTATTAGGTGACTGCATAGTAGTTCTCGGATAAAAGCAAAAGTACCTGTTGTTGTCAGTGCTGTGCAGTGTTATGTTTTGTGATGGTAGCTCTAAACATATTGCAGTCCAATCCAATCATTGGATTATTTTCTCTGAAGTTAGTAAGCTTCCTGTTCTCTCTGCTCATCTAAAATTCCGTGAAAAGTCAAAGGTTTACACATCCCCTCTGACTCCAGAAGATGTGAGGTTTGGGAAATTGAGGAGAACAGCTGAATTTATTCACTACTCTTTTGAATATTATGGGGCATTTCCTTTCATAGGTCAGCTCAGCCTCCCGGCCCCAGCCCTTTACCTTCTTCAGACCTCAGTGCATCAGGGCAAGCCTGCCATCTCCCAGAGCAGCCAGCTGAGACTCTCTCAGCTGCCCTGGACACCGGCAGGACTGAGGCAGGCCTCTCACATCCTGGAAAAAAGTGCGGTCACTGCAGGGAAAGCAGACCAGCCCACCCAGGCTGCCTGCATCCCTCCACACTCTCCTGTCTGGTGTCTCTTTTTTCCTCTGCCCCCGTCCTCGCTCTGGTTCCTTGCATGATTAGTCTTAATAGGGGAGGAAAAATAATTTCCCCCTACCTTCTGTGTTTGTGGCTGAGAACTCTGTAATAAAAGAAAGATTAACAAGAGATAAACAGGTTTATTAACATGTAGACCTCAGGTATACATGGGAGACATGGGGGGAAAGATTAGTATCTCTCTGAGGTGACTTAGAACTCAGGCCCAGATACCATCTGAATGGGGAAAGGGGAGGGGGCCTCTTAGGGACGAGGAAGTGATTATTGGGAAGGATGAGGGGTCTAGAAGAACAGATGGGAGTGTAACAGTTTGTGACTAAGTCTGGGTGTGGCTTTGACTTCTAATGCCCCTGCAGTGATGAGAGCCACTCTTCCCTATGGGTGGAACTCCCAGGGAGGGGCTCTAGGACACTGACTTCCTGTTGGAGGAGCAGGTAAGGGGAGCTCAGAGAAAGCCTCTCAAGTGCCTATGGCTTAAAATAATCAATAGAGCAAAGCGGCAGACTTGGGGTGGGATGTCCTGAACTCCTGTTCATATTTTGGGTGGTGTACTCTGCTACCCTTCAGTCTCCCTCTCCAAGCCTTGTGCTGGTCCCTGCAGGGGGAGCACTGTGCACTTCTATTCCCACCAAGGCCCTGCAGTATCTGCAAAGGCAGCCTGGCAATACACTGTCCCCACACACTGTCCCCTCCTGCCTCCACATCCACCCCACTTCCCACTCACACCGGGATCTTATGATTGCCTGCACCTTCTCTACCCGAGAAATTCAAACCAACCACACCCTGCTCTGTGGTCCTGTGGTTTCATCATGCTGGCTCTCAGGCCTGATGTGGTTGGTCTTTGACCTCACAGAAGATGCCAGTGTCCAGAATGTTCCGATTTCTTGAAACACGTTAGCTCCTACCTGGACTTTCTGCTTTTCATGCTCAGCCCGAACCCCTGATTGATCATTGCAGTGACTGCCTTGGCAGAGCCTCAGTGGCCTTGCGCCTGTCCTGCAGAGCACCGCCCCCCGCAAAGCCCAGCCCTGAGCTCAGCGGCAGCCCGCTTTCACTCCTAGTGGCTGAGAGTGCTGGAGAAAGATTTGTGAATTCTGTCCATACACTCTAACACTTAATTACACAGCCAGTCGTGCAAGGCATGGGAATATACAGACATAATACAAATCCTTGCCACAAACAGATGCAATTATTACTGGAGGAAGTTTTTGAATTTTCGTCAAGGGGAATCCTTAGCTCCCTGTTTCTTTATTCTCTTTCTTGTGTGGTTAAGAATTCTTTCTCATTGGAATTCTTAATTGCAGGAAACAAACTGAGGGTTGCTGGACTGGGGGGTGGGGTGGGAGGGATGGGTGACTGGGTGATAGACACTGCGGAGGGTATGTGCTCTGGTAAGCGCTGTGAATTGTGCAAGACTGTTGAATCTCAGATCTGTACCTCTGAAACAAATAATGCAATATATGTTAAGAAAAAAAAAAAAAAGAAGAAGAAGGTAGCGGGAGGGGAAGAATGAAGCGGGGGAAATCGGAGGGGTAGACGAACCATGAGAGACGATGGACTCTGAAAAACAAACAGGGTTCTGGAGGGGAGGGGGGTGGGAGGATGGGTTAGCCTGGTGGTGGGTATTGAGGAGGGCACATTCTGCATGGAGCACTGGGTGTTATGCACAAACAATGAATCATGGAACACTTCATCTAAAACTAATGATGTAATGTATGGGGATTAACATAAGAATAAAAAAAAAAGCCAAAAAAAAAAAAAGAATTCTTTCTCATTGGCCTCGATTCCTTTTGCAATCCTCTGGCCGACTGCGAAGAGCTCTCCCTGCAAAGAGAGAAGCTGCTGATAAAAAGCCTTCTTCCCCTTCCAGGGAGCTCATTCATTCCTTCTTTCTTTTGCTCATTCATTTGTTCATTCCACAAATAATCGTTGAGTGCCTACTTCGTGCCAGGCGTGTCCTCATGAGGAAGGATACAGACGTGAACGAGACAGGCAAGGTCCCTGCTCTTGTGCAGCTTATATTAGAGTGTGAGAAAATGCGCAAGGAAGAGAGGGAGGGGAAAGGAAAGAAAGAAAATCTGAGTTGCAGGTGCTGAGAATCAGAGTAAGATGGTAGACGGCTGGGGGAGGGCGGTCTCACGGTAAACATCGGAGTGTGGAGAAACCGCTAAGCCGACAGCAGTAGGAGGGGCACTTAGGCACGAGGGGCTATGTGCTCAGGGAATGTGAACTTCAGGTCGGACCGAACCAAATACAGTTAGCACAGCCATTGTGTGCACCCACTAAATACACTTTCAAAAAAATCTGAATTCTCTTAAAATGGATTATTCCGAATCAGAGTCCCCTGTGGAGCAATACAGCCTTGCAGCAAACACCCAGACCACTGAGACGTGTTAACGGCCGAGTAATATAGTCACTTGTGGAGAATTTCTTGCCTAGGCAGGAGTCCTTCTACCTCTTCTTGTTCTCAGAGTAGGAAAGAAGAAGAAAGAAGCAAACCAAACCAATCAGACCCAAACCAAGAGGCCAAACCCAACCCCACAGCATCTCGCCTCGGCTGAAACAGAAATAACTCCCATTACTCACCCACCCCAGCAATGGGAGAAGAGATTGCTGTCAGGTATCCTGCCATTATATTCTGTGTTCATTGGAGCGAAAGGGCAGAGAAGAGGGGAGGTTTTGAAAAGAATGCCCAGAGAACTACACCTTTCCTCCTTGATTGTTGAGAACAGCCTTGCAATTAAATACTAAAAATATACCGGCTGTAAACTGTTTGACCAGCCCACCTGCTATGCCCTCAGTTGTCACCCCCAAATGGAAGCCTCTCTGCCCTCGTGTGACTATATGGGGGGTGGTTTCCAGGGTCTTTCGGGAGGGGCTGGAGGTTAAATACGTTCATAAGGGTGAAACTCTCTGATCTAGGGGAACGGGTGCCCTCCCAGGAAGAGGAAGAGAACCAGGGATCTCTGTGTCCTGACAGGGGCGTGGTGTTCCGTGACCGAAGTCGGAGCCCTGCTCCCATCACTTACCGGCTGGGAGACTTGGGGACCATCGCGTGGTATCCTCATCTGGATACTGAGATGGATGAAGGCGTCACAAGAAGGGGGGAAGTCTTTTTGGTTGGGGTACTTTGCGTCTCAGGGTGGAGTGTCCTGGAAGAGTAATGTACTGTCTGCAATCTTCACAGCACACTGAGGTCGGCCAACTGTATTATTATTTAAACAACAACAACACGTAATCTATTTATGAACTTCTTCCTCTCCACTGCCTGGCCTGATCTAACATCTAACTAAGTTTACCATATAACCTGCTAAATAAGTTACATTTATTCTCAGGACTAAGAAGCAAATACGATTTTTCCATTCACAGTAACCTAGCGAGTTAGGCCGCGAGATTTCTGTCCAGAGGTGGGCCACCATCGCCCTCTGCTGGAGAAGTTTGTAACTGCTGCTTTGCAAGGAGAACAAGAAATAATTGATACCAGTCATTCTAATTGAGCGAGCCTCTGGGGCCACTGAGCTTTTATTGAGCTTGTGATTGCCCAAAAGAGTGGGGCTTATATTGGTTTATGGGATCAATTCCTTTCTTATGTAGTACCCCAAAAATTTAGATGTTATTTGATAATGATTAAATATTCCTCATCCCTCCGTATAAGCAGAGTTAATTCATCAAACAGTATCAGAGCTTAATGGTACAAACAACAGAAGCAGATCCTAGGGTGCTCCTTTTAAGCTTTTGATTACTTAAAAATTATAGAAAATTTGGTAAAAGTATACAAAATGTAGAAAAGTAAAAGAAAAGTAGAAATGTAGAAAAGTAAAATGTTGGCAGTCCCACTTCCAGGAAAAAAAAATTACATTTTGGAATATTTCCTTCCAGTTCTTTTTCTAGGAACATAATGACCTTTTAAAAACTTGTTTTTACTGTTTGTAGACCGGGTGGAACTCATCCCATCAGTTGAGGGCTTGAATGGACCAAAAAGCTGGAGGAAGGCAAGATTCCCACACTCCCTGCCTGACTGCCTGACCTGGGACATCAGTCTTCTCCTGCCCTTAGAGCTCCTGGGTCTCGGGCTTTCAGACGTGGTTCTCTGCCTCTGAACTACACCACTAGCTCTAGCTCTGTGGGTCTTCGGTTTGCCCACTGCGGATGGTGGGACTGCTCAGACTCCATAACTGCATGAGCCAATTCCTCATAATTAATCTCTTTCTAGAGTTCTCTGTCCAACTGGCCTATCGGTTCTGGTTCTCAAAGAACCCTAATACAGCTGCATATCATTTTATTTTTTAATAAAAGATTTTATCTATTTGAGAGAGAGAGAGAGAATGAGCTAGAGTGCAAGAGTAGGGGGAGGGAGAAGCAGACTCTCCACTGAGCAAGGAGCCCGACGCGGGGTTTGATCCAGGACCCTGAGATCATGACCCGTGCAGAAGGCAGACGCTTAACCAACTGAGCCACCCAGGTGCCCCTGCATATCACTTAAAAAAAAACTTTTTATTTGAAATAATTCTAGATTTACCGAAGAGTTTAAAGCATAGGGCAGAACTCCTGTATCTTCTTCCAGCATCTACTGTTACCATCTTAGACCACCGTGTTCACCACAACTGGGAAATTAACAGTGGTATGTGCTATTACCCGAACTCACTGTTACCCTGGCTCACAGTTCTTCATAAAGCTTTTTCTTGGGTGCCTGGATGGCTCAGTCAGTTAAGCGTCTGCCTTTGGCTCAGGTCATGATCCAAGGGTCCTGGGATCGAGCCCCACGTCCGGCTCCCTGCTCAGCGGGGAGTCTGCTTCTCCCTCTCCCTCTGCCCTTCCACCTCACTCGTGCTCTCTCTCTCTCAAGGTAAATAAATAAAATCTTAAAAAAAAAAAAAAAAGCCGAGTATGGGGTAGGGTATTACACTCTCTCTCAACTTTTCCTTTTGTTTGAAATTGTCCATAATTAAAAACCTTTTTTAAAAATGTGCCCTTCCAGGTTAGACTTGTGCATCTGGGGGCAGGGAAGGTGGAGAGGGCGTGTGTGGAGGTTGACATGGTTGCTGATCAGCGATGGGAACATCAGATGCCTCTGCATGCTTTCCTGTACCATCGTCACGTCAAGACAGTGCATCTTAGGGGCGACATAAACTGTCCTGAAGGAAACGGGGCGCCCTCTTTTAACACCCGCGAGTTCCAGACTTTTCCAAGGCAGCCTTGTCCTTTGTGGTGAGAATTGGTCACCTCTCGGAAGCAAGTCCTAGTGGATTATTTCACCAACAAGTTCTCCATAATTTATTTTAAAAAGAAACAGAATCAAACCTGAAATATGTCCTTAAAGGAATGGATGGAGAAGCATGGTGCCAGAGAAGGAGGCATTCGTTAATGGCTGGCCATTTGCCTAAACTCTCTGCGTGCCCCGGGGCAGCCGTGGGCGCAGGCGAGTGTTTCGGTGGGATCCGCTGGGCTCTCCGCTGCCACAAAGACGGATGGATGCTAAGTGGAACCTTTTCTCCTCCCAGTGACCAGGCATGATACTGAGAAAAATAATGGTCAGAAAGAACATCACTAGGCCCCTAATGAGAAGCTGTTGACAGAAAAATTGCTCTCACATTCATCAAAAAAGCCAATAAATGTCAAGGAAGGGACTGGAAATGTAGCAGCTAGTACATTCTTTCTCAAGGGGCCTCTGAAGGGGACTTTTGGGACAAGACACCTGCTCTGCCTTTTTCCTGAATGTTGCTAAATAAACCTCCAGTTCTGCTTAGGACATTTTTTTTTTTTGGTCAACCTTTTTTATTTTTTTAAACATTTTTAAAGATTTTTATTTACTTATTTGAGAGCGAGCAAGAGATAGAGCATAAGCAGTGGGGAGGGGCAGAGGGAGAGGGAGAAGCAGGCTCCCCGCTGAGCAGGGAGCCCGATGCGGGGCTCTATCCCAGGCCCCTGGGATCATGACCTGAGCCGAAGGCAGACGCTTAAACGACTGAGCCACCCAGGCACCCAAGCTTAGGACATTTATGGGGGCTCCCCCTGATAGCTTTGAGGGCATGTCCGCAGGGTGGCCACTCTGGCGTTTGGCCAGAGCATCCTGTTTGGGGTACGACCACTGGCTAGGTCGGGATCTTTTCAGCCCTTGAAACCTCGTCTGTGTGATGTCACAGTTTGTAAGCTAACTGAGAGCTGAGATCTCTTCGGGCTTTAGGTAGATGATCCTATTTGCTCAGCAGGGAGTCAATCCTCTTGAATCCTCTAATACTGTATTGCCTCTGGTGTTCATGTAGTAGACCCCATTGCTTCATTGTAACCTGTCTTCTGGTGCTAAATCTTGTTTTCACTTTTTTGTTAGGGGAGGGGGTGCTCACTAAGAGAGGCTAATGTGAATATGTCCCTGGACTTGAGTTTGGTGTTCCCCCAGAGGCAGACCCCGAATCAAGGACTTGTGTGAAGGTTGTTTATTTGGAAAGTGATCCCAAGTGAAGGTGTGGGGCGGGAAGGCAGGGAGGGAGAAAAGCTGATAAAGTTTGCATCAGTGAACGGGTCGGTGCTGTGAGGGTTGGGGCTCAACCCTGCTAGGCCCTTCTGAGAAAAGATAGCACCCCATCTCAGCATTGTTCCATCTGACGACCAGGGGCTGGGACATTCTTCCATGGTCTCCCATCCTGCTGCTGTTTGAGGGGTGTCCCTGGAGGCCTTAACTCCCCCCACTTCCAGGTTGCCTGTTGAAGGCTGAACAAGCTCCTGGACGTGCCAAAAATCACTCCCAGAGAGGCAGAGAGATGGAAGTGCTTGAGGGGGTGTCTTAGCCAGCTCAAGCTGCTATAACAAAATACCCCAGACTGGGGGCGCCTAAAAAGAGAAATTGATTTTTGTACAGTTCTGGAGGCTGGAAGTCCGAAGTCAGGGTGTTGGCAGGGTTGGTCTCTCCTGAGGTCTCTCTCCGTGGCTTGCGGACGGCTGCCTTCCTGCTGTGTCCCCGTGTGGTACGTCCTCTGTGTGTGCACAGCGCTGATGTCTCCCTCTCCTCCCATAAGGACACTAGTCCTATTGGATTAGGGTCCCATCCTTAGGACCGCCTTTAACCTTACTATCTCTTCAGAGGCCCTTTCTCCAAATGCAGTCACACTGGGGAATAGGGCTTTAACATGTGGATTTTGTGGGAACAGAATTCAGTCCATAACAGGGGGAAGCTAATTCCTATGGAAACTGCCCACCACAGCTGCGGGTGAAATGGGAGGTGGGTCATCAACAATATTGCCACACATATATTAATGTAATCCTCCTAATCACTTAGCAGGTATGTGTTGTTATCACCCCTCTTATAACCACAAAGAAACTCAGACTCCAAGAAGTTAAACAACTAGCCCCACATCACACACCTAGTGATAAGGGTAAGCCCAGAGGTAACTCAGCTCTCTGACTCTTGGCCCATGATAACTATTTTGTATTTGAATTTTAATGCGTTCATGATTTATCTCAGTTCCTAGAGGGTCAGAATTGTCTTACACTTAAAACAAAAACAAAAACAAAACAAAAACAAAAACAAAACAAAACAAAACAAACCATCCCATAGTGCTTAGTGTAGGACTTTGTAATTAAGTAGACACTTCATAAATACAGGCATTGAGGTTTTAAAAATCACCTCTTGGCTGTTTCTTCTGGAGATAGATCCGGGGGGGTAAAATCTATGCAACTAAAAGGAAGTTAAACGTGTTTTCATGGGAACATAGTAACTTTCGAGGGACAGGTCATCCTGGGGTCCCAACAGGAGGAGGGGTATGATGGTCCTTGTAGGGTAGGGGCTGGGAGAGGGGCACAACTAACCAGCCTGGCAACTGTCCATCCCTCCTTAGGGATGGGGAGGGCTTGCTGATCTAGGAACTAAGGGACCTTGAGGAAACTTCACTGGTAAAAAACTGGACAGACTGACTGCTGTCCTAACGGATAATTATCGAATGATCAGAGTAATAACTTTGATGACAGTAACAAATGAGACGATTTTGGCTTAAGGTTCAAATAAGCATATTAACCATTTTGGTAGATTCCATCAAGTGCAAATCTGTTAGATATCTTCACCCCTTGCCAACCAACCCTGTATTTGATACGTCTCTCTGGGTGAAGAATGTTTTTTCACCAGAAATGTTAGCATTTGGAGACCAAAACATGCTTCAGCCATGCCTTTAGAGAAAGAAAACGGGCTTTACAGAACCCCTGGGACTGATTTCATCTTAGTGGAGCAACGTGACTCCTGAGTATCGACCTACATTTACAAAGAGATGCTTACCAACTTCCCCGGATCTACAAAGAAAACAGTGAATTAATTCATGTTCTGCTCAGCGATTTCACTTTCCACAACAGAAAATGTGAACTGAGAATTTTAAAAAGCCCGTCCGTATCATATAGGTTGTACCCTGGCAATGTTTAACTGGACCTAGCCAACCTTACTGAAGGCCCACTCTGTGCTGAGCAGGGTCTAGTCTCCAAGGATGGAAAAACTAAGGAAGGACTGACCGATCCTGCAGGAACGCACAACTTTGTTGGGGGCAGGGAGGGCAAGACACTAGACTATGCATGAAAAGGAAATAATTGAAGGTGCTCCCTGCACAATAGAAGTATATACAACGTGATGCAACGTAGCAGTCACCTAATAGCGAGAAAGGGAAGAGGATCGCGGGGCGCAGGGATCACAAACCCATGCCCCCAGAACTAGAGCCGCTGGGTTCCCCTGGGGCACCTGGGTGGCTCAGTCAGTTAAGTGTCCGACTCTTGATTTTGGCTCAGGTCGTGTCTCAGGGACGTGAGATCGAGCCCTGAGACGGGCTTCGTGCTCAGCAGGGAGTCTGCTTGGGATTCTCTCTCTCCCTCTGCCCCTCGCCCAGCCCCGCTTGCATGCTTGCTCGCTCTCTCAAATAAATAAATAAATGTAAAAAAACAACAACAACAACAAAAAACAAACCACTTCCCCTCCACAGAACACATGATACAGAGAGGTCTTTGAAATTCTCGACCACATTTCCTTAATCAGTTTTAGAAAGTGAAATCACTAACCAAAGCCTGCCCCTTCCTAGCTGTGTGATACTGAGCAAGTCACTTAATAACTCTGTATTTTGGTTTCTCGTCTGTATAATGGCATTGGCCTACTTCATAGAGATTTTGTGAGGATTAGTGTATTAATATCTACAAAACGCTTAAAACAATGCCTGGCGCAGAGTGATCACTACACAAATGTGAGTGGGGCTGGGCTCTAAATCACATTCCCCTCCTACTGATGCATTCTTTTTTCTTTTCCTTAATTCCTAGAAATTTCTAAAACTGGTAATTATCATCTCTTTTGGTAAGGTAAATATTGAAAACATACAACATAAAAAAAAGAAAGATTTCTTAAATGTGTAAAAAAAGATATATATATGTGCAAGTTGGTTTTAGATAACGTCTGTGCTTAAACAGTCCTGGTCAGGACAGGAAGATCCAAGGGAAGTATTGTTCTGAAATCACTAAGGATGTCAAAGACTGCCACACCGGGCAAATAAACCTCATAAGGCTGGATGTGCCAACTCACCCCTGCCCCTGCCCCTCCCCTCCCCCCCCACCCCCCTGCTCCCTGTGGAACTGGTTCCTCCCCTACACCCAGGAGCCTGAGGGGGCCAGGCCACCTCATCCAAGAGACCCTGCCTGCCAGCTTTCATGGGCCTCTCTTTGGGACCTGAAAAAATAAACTTTGGGCTCTACAATATAAAAGAAAAACCCTTGCAAGACCGAAATTTAGTATTTTATTAACTGTAACATGTCAAGTTCAAGGACGTTGAATTTAACTCCCGAATACCCGCTGATTGCCAAGAAATCGTAACCATTAATCAAATGTTTAAAAATAATTCAGAAAGCAAATCATGGGGCTCCTTTCCCTAAATAGAAGAAAGACATTCAGTGTGGAATACAGGTGTATTCTGATGTTTAGTGTGATATGGGGTGGGGCTTGCAGAGACACGAGCACCTGGGGCCTTTGAAGCCCCTAAAATCTGCCCGAGTGGAGGTTTCCAGAGGCTCCTGGAAGAGCTCAAGCCTCTTCACGTTCCTCTCCGAGCCAGTGGTGACTGCCCACAACTTCATCGTAAAAGCCGCACGGGCTCAACTGTTAAAATACGGACACAGCTGAAGAGAGATGGGTCGCTTCCAGCGGAATGCAGCAGTTCACACATTTTCGTGCTCAGCAGAATTACTGGGAGACCTTTTTTTTTTAATGCATATTTTTAGGCCTTGGAAGTCTGAATTTGTGATTCAGTAGGTCTGGTGAGGAGCCCAGGAAATCTGCATGTGAAGATCCAGGTCACCCAGGGGCCACACTTTGGAAACGCTACTCTTAGTGCAGTGGGTTTTCAGAGGGAGAGGAAAGGTGGTGGCGGGGGTGGGGAAGGGGGGTGGTTTGCTGGCTGAATAATGCACGTGGACAAAATGAAAGGTAACTGCCAGTTTGGAGAGAGATGTGCCCCAGTGGAGGACATCTTCAAAAGGTGCAGGTGTGGGCCCGAGGCTCTGAGCATCTGTGATGGATTTCTCGTTCTCGAATGCGCTCAGGTGTTGCCAATGTTTACTACTTCTGGGGGTAAAGCGCCCTTCTCTGTTTGTAGAAGAGCATTTCCTTGAGCAAAAGCTACCTGTTTCAAGTTCCGTGGCAAGTTCCCAAATCCCAGTATTGTAGAGCCCAGAACGTCACAACGAGGAGGACGAGAGTCCAATGGCGTCACGCTTATGGACAGGACAACTGCGCTCATGACCTGCTCGCGGCCATGCTGCAGACCTGGGACCGGAACGCCGCGTTCTCCATGCTCAAGTCCTGCTTTTCCCGAATCTCCTTCGGTAAGCAAAACTGTGTGGCCTTGGCTGTGGCATTTCTGATTGGTTTCCTTTGAGCACATCCATAGTCTCTGTGGGGTTGGAACAGCGATCTTTTCAGCATGTTGGCGGGAACATGGCGCGTGGTCAGGACCCTGCAGATCCGAACCCACATCCTGGCTTGACCACGGCAAATGCCGTCACTTCTCTGAGTCTCCTACACACCAGGGGGGTAGTAAGAGCCACTTCAGGAACTCGGCTCCTTAAATCAGCCCTGGTTCCTGAATGGCAACTACACCCAAATTCACTGGTGTGAAGTTAGTCGGGGAGCTGGTACCCCTCCATTTGCTGGTATTCTGCAGGGCTCAAGCCAGCCTTGGGGAACGCTCTCTCACAGGGCGTGGGGACCTGGTTCCCTGACTTCCTGGCGCCTGCCGGGCTGAGCTCAGCAGAGCTCCCTGAGAAGTAAATGGTACAGACGGAAAGACGAGAATATACCAGGCTTTCCAAAAGCAATCATCATGTGTGGTTATCAGAAAAATTTCATTCCATGTCCCAGCGGAGGGAAGCACGGATACAAATTAACCCCAAATTTATATTTGCCTGGGGATGAATTCTGACATCAGAGGATGGGTAGCAGATTTTCCTTCTGGATTATTTGCTCCACAGGCGAGGATCAAGATTTACAGCTAGTCCCTGAGTGTGCATCCCCAGCTCACGGCTGGAAAGCCAGCCCAGGGCCCCAAGGACTTCATGGTTTCAGGGGATAGTGCATGCTCATACAGAAACTGGAAAGTTGCCTTTTGATTTTCCTTTGCCAAATGTGTGTATGAGAGGGCTTTGTCACTTTCTCCAAAACCCAGGGGCCTTTGTGACATCCTCTCCCCAGCTATCAAGGCCACCTGGGCAGGAAGGTACAGCAGGGGTCCCACGGTCAGCACTGTTTCTGAGCGGATGATGACAGCCCCCATTCCCATCTAGCCCCCTCGTCCTCCCCAATCTAGTCTAGGTCTGCAGCCAGCTCATTATTGGCTTCGTAGTAAAAACTCCGACCGTGCTCTGCCGACAATCAAATCCGATGTCCCCTGTGCACTGGCAGAGTTCTGCAGCAAGGAGTATGGGGTCCGTTCCTTCGTTCTGGAAAGCTGCATGGAGCAGGGGATTCATGTCTTCGGAGCTGGCCTCACGCCAGCCCAGGCTCTCGCCATGAGGCCACGTGGCCAGGGGAAGGCACACCCATGGCTTTTTCAGGCAGAGTTTGGAACTCTCACTCTACCCAGGGGCAGCTGTTGGACCTAGCACAGAGTGGGTCTCAACGACTCACCTGTAGGATGCAGATTACCCTAGCACCTGCTCCACGGGGTCTGCGGAGGATGAAACGAGAATATACAGAGGGTACCTGCCACGTCCCAGGTGTCCAGCAAACGGCAGCCCTGATGACCTCTGGGCATGAGGAGCATCTTAGTAACAAGTTCCTCCTTTCCAAGAAAACACTTTTTTTTTTTAATCTTTCTAAACTCAGGCAAAGCAAAAAATTGTCAATCTCAATAGAAACCTGTGGAAACACTGGGGACATCCATTGCAATGCGTGTGAGCCCCAGGGTAGAGCCCCATGCTTCTCCATCTCAGCCTTGGTACTGACCACATTTATGGCCACATTCTACTCCAAGGGAAGAAAAACTGACTTAAAAGAAAATAATAAGCCCTATGTGAAAGCTTGAGGACAAGAGATTTGGGACATGTCGGGCCAGGTTGGATCCGGAGCCAGAGAGGAACAGGTTCAGGTCCTGATGCATGTGCTCGCTCAGCTGGGGAGCTCAGATGCCTGGTGCTGGTTTGTACCGCCCCCCTGAGGCTGAGCAGAACAGGTGGTGTGTAGTGGGTAGAACATGTGTCCTGTGTCCCTCCCACCTCTCCCTGATGTTTTCATTCTCGGGTTTAGCCCAGGGTCCTGGTGTCGGGATCTCGGATGGCCAGGACATTCATTACAGAACCATCAGGCACCTGGTGTGCGCCCCTGAGTACGGGCTGGGGAAAAGAGGTCATTGGTTTTCTTTTCTTTTCTTGGACAGCTTGCAGCCTGGCTGGGGAAAGATAAAATTACCAGTCCCTCTCAATATTTAATCTTTTTAAATCATAGAAGATTAGTCCAAAAGCCATTTCTGTTGAGAAGCAGAATCGAGGAGATTTTCAGTGTGGAGAAACACCTCGTGGAGATTCGAAATGTGTGGCTGCTCGTGGGCAGCCAGAACTACCTCCACCTCAGGGCACATTTCTGGAGGCAGAGCTTGGTTGGCATCCTCCTGTATCCTCACCTTCTCCCATGTCAGGCGGTCCCCCACTTATGGTCCTTGAAGGAGCATCTCAAGGACCAGGCTCCCCCCGCCCCCGCGCTCCCCAGCCAGCGGCACAGGCTGGCTGGCCTTCCACTTGGACTCCCCACCTGCCTTCCCCAGGGGGTCACGGCCTTTCCTACAGACCACGCACATTGAAGCCATGGCTACTGTCACATGGAAGGCTGCCTTCGCAGAGTCACGAGGCAGCAGTGGTGTTGGGGCGTCAGAAGGGGGGTGGGGGCCCCCTCTTCCTGCACGTCTCTGGTGAGACCACTCACTGCGACCAGATGGGTTTTCGCTTCTGGATGAAGGCCTTGATTCCCTCCTGCCCGTCCTTCAGGGCCACGTTGTCCACCATGGTCTGGGAGGTGAGGTGGTAGGCCGTTCGAAGGTCCTGGGGCAGCTGCCTGTAGAAGGTGGCCTTGCCCAGAGCCACCACGGGACGGCTCAAGGAGGCAATCTTGCCTGCGATCCTCATGGTCTCCTCCTCCAGTCGCTCCGCTGGCACGACTTTGCTGAGCAGCCCGTGCCGCAAGGCCTCCTGGGCAGATATGGGCTCCCCGGTGAAAAGCATTTGTAAGGCAACCTGCGGGAGGAAACCTGGGTCACTAAGGCCCGCTCCCCATGACCCCCTGCTAGCCAAGCCCCACCCTCTCCCCTCCAGTCCGCTGACTTCCCGACAATCTCAGCCCGGTCACCTGCTTCCTCAAATAACATGTCATCCGTCAGGCCCGACGTCTGCGACACCCAGACTCCTGCCAGGCACAGGGTTGGAGCTCTCCGAGAGCAAGGAGCATGCAAGTGCCCGGGGAAGGGTCCCTTGCTCCTTCCCCAGGGCTGATCTCCCGGCACCCCCCGCCCCCAAGGCCAGGAGCTCCCCTCTGCCTCTTACGAGGGCCGGGCACGGGGCGTGGCCACATCTGATGGGAGGGAACCGACGCCGAAGCCCCCCGCCTGCCCCAGACCAACGCAGCGGCCGCTTTCCGGAAAGTGCTCAGAGATGCCACCACCGCAGTCTG